TCCTACTATGTTTCGGGATCTTATGGGTGGAATCGGTCGTACAGCATTCAACTGAGTAAGAGACAGCGTTTATATTCTGTTGAAAAAATATTTAGATTACAAGAAAATATCATTTAATCTATACAGTATTATGGTCTATTTCGGACTTTTCTATATACGTTATCAGCAACATTAGAAATTTATTTTGCGCACTATCATTCATCGACTAAGCACTATTCGCATGTTTCTTTCTAGGACATAACTGGTCAACAGCAATCAATACTATTCTAGCGAGAACTATAATCTATTATGAAAGTCAACTCGTCTTCTGCTAGAAAAAATATGTTCTGAGCTTTCATCATATGCAACTTATCGCTTCAGATAGAGCCTGAGACAAAATACAAAACTACAAGTTCTATGAATCTTGAACTCTTTTCAACTCTCAACAAATCTCTTGAAATCTCATCAAGTTTCGCAAATTTTTTCAGAGTTTTTTGGAATCGTGATGTGTAAAGAGTCAAAATGCACTGTTTTCCCTTCGCCTGAAACGCAAAGCGTATTACGATCAAAGCAATGCGTAAATATGATTATAGGAGAAAATGCCTTAAGTCTTTATATTTTATATCTCTCTTGTCATTGTATCTCTGTCGTCCATCTAGTGAAATGCTTCTTATTTTAAAGACAGTTTTTTCCTCCTTATTTATTGCTGAAATTACCTTGCAATTACTCATAAGATCAACATTCTAAACCCATCTTCATCAAAAACAACACATGAATATCGTTGATCAATTCAATTTTATTCTAAAGTAATCTTATAAAATACCCATACACATAGCTAGAACCTAAATAATTCTAACAAAGTCATCAAACGTGTCGTATAAGTCAACAAAATGAAGATATAATTTTATTATCATTTTAAACATTTTAAAAATACACAATGAAGATATGTCGTTGCTTCATATCATAAAGGAAAATATCTAATCGGCCTGTCCAATAAGTGATAGATTGTGTTAACAATTTTCTTGTAGGATCCAACCATAATAAGGTTAGTCACACTGTAGAATTTTAGGATTTTTATACATTGATTTGCTCACTGCCTTTTTGAAACAATGCCCCCTCGTTTCTGCAATTGATAGAGCCTTAAGAAAAAAGGCGAAAGCATCATAGAATGGGATTTCATCATACTTGCATAGACTTTATAATCGAACTTCTAAAGTCATAATTGAAAATTACGAAATAATTTTTGTAACATGCCAATTATATTTTTGATTTTATTAAGTTGTGATTAAATTCTATATAATGATGCCTATGGGTGATGTTTATAAATGTTGAGAGTCAATTTATCGAAAACATTACGCAAGTTGATTGATTTATGCAGCAACCACTTTCGACATTTTTTTAGTATTTGGTACTGTCAAGTTACTTTCAATAACACTTCTGATTCGTTAATTTTTTTTTCGTTGAATTTATTGCCAGCTTCTTTGATGGTAGTTATTTTTTCCTTGAGCGCAACCATAATTGCAGGTTTTAAAGAATGTTCTCTTGACTATAAATTCATTTAATTCAAACTAAGATTTACCAGAACTATTCTTAATGTAATCTGGATGTGATGATTATCCAGTTTATTTTTTGTATTTTAGCTGTACATAAGCGAATTCTTCTCATATAGTATCTCAGTACCTGAAAAAAGTAAAAACATCTTGTCTAACATTTGAGTCATCATTATCATTAGTATCAATAACATCCATAGCAGCACCACCACCATTATTTATTAAGCAAGGAATTATACCGTAAAGTAAAGAATAAATGTCGAATGAGAAGGAATTGCAAGTTCTTTCTTTTGCTGGGTATAAAAATTGTCTTTGTGTAAGATCAATAATGTAACAACTATTCTCCTATATAACAGTCATCGATTTTAATTTTCTTACATATGCCGAAGCTTGATAAATGGGCCTAGAGCATTGATCCGAGAAAATTCGTATTTTTGTTTACCACCCGGGATATATAGTTGTATATAAAATTTTTAATCGATTGACTGATGTCGACCTTGCTAATAATTTTATTATGTCTTTTTTTATTTCGTTTATTTCGACAACATACTAGAATTTATTATTTGAATCGTTGTTTCAATTCCAATCAAATGAATTCCGTACAATTGATGATTATAGAAGTATACAGTGACTTACGGATATATCAAACACTGGTTTGTTTTGAGCATTCGTTCTTGGCATATTGTTCTTGTAAATTATTTTCAGGACTTTTTGAGAATATAATAATATTTTTAACTTCTGATTTGCCTTAAATTTACGTTTACATTCGTAACTGACATATTTAATTTCATTCTAAACTGTTAGAACGAATAGTTTTGATCTCTGACTTTCATTAGATTTGTGTATATAAAGTTCCCAGATCATTATAATAGAATGACCACTTCAGCTTAGTATCATTATCTTCCGCTATCACCTATGCTATTTAGTGTATCACATTAAATAAGTGACTCTTACTGTTGAACATTCTAAATTTCAGCTTAACATCAAAACAAAAGAACTGTAGTTTTGTCGTTTTTTATAAGTTTATATGCGTTACGACGATCAATAAATATTGAATTTGAACTGTTCGTAAAAACTTAAAGAGATTTAATGCGCAAAGTGTACTGATTTAATACTATGAACAGTATGATTTTTAATATATTTTAGTAGTGAGACAAAGTGGTAATATGTTCTTTTGAATGAATAGTATCTACTGTTGAAAAATACCCATTATTTTTGTAATCATATTTGTATCGTCCAGATGTCATTCGTTTACGGAAAAACAAAGTGATTATATATCTATTCAAGATTTGAAAAAAAAGATGCAGTACTCATAGAATTATATCAATGATAAAGAAATTGTATCGTCACTGCTATTGGAAATTATTTAAGAGTCCTATATTGAGTTCATGAACTTCAGATCTATCACCAGTCTTTATCTTAATAGTGATTATTTGTCAATGGATATGATACGACTTACAGATCGAGATTTCTATGAATTCATGCGAAGCTTTCCTGACTTGTATCATATTTTTGTGCCATACTAGCAACACATAAGCAGCATAGTATATTTTCTCTGTGCAGGAACATAAATATACCATTTTAATATTAACCAAAATTGGAAATATTTATTAAAAAAATGTTTCAAACAAAAAATGAATAATTACTAGGCATTTAACCCATGTCATCAAAATCGCATAAATTTTGACAATTAACCGCAATATTTCAAAAACAACGTCGTAAGAATCATCTACATAAAAATTATTCGCGTTTTTTTATTTCTGAAAGCAAGAAGAACTAAACTCTGATGAGTTTGTCTTAAAAAATATTTTTCATATATCAGTAGCATAGTATCTGATTGGAACTTCGAACGGAATATTTACTCTCTGATTAGTTTCAACCAATAATAAAGCAGACATGACTATTTTGTTGTTTCAGTTCCTGTATAATCCATCTTATTTTATTAGACGAACTATTTTAATGTACAATAACTTCGGTGGTGAGTGTATTATTTTACGAAATAAACTGCTTTATTTTCATTTAGATCGATTTCAAGAATAATAACACGATAAGTACTGATTTACAAAATAAATTATATTCTTTCTTCTTTAGAATAATTGCAATATCCATTGCATCAGCAATTATTATTTTACAAAAATACATTGCATTCTTTTTTTAATTAGGTTAATATCAACTAAAATTTCATTCGTAAGTATAATTAGAACGAAAATTTATTTTTATATTTACGTGGAGAGCAAAAGCAAAAATTCATTTCTCTGACCTATGAAAAGCTCATGAGAATATAACAATAAGCAACATCATATACGAAATTTTACAATAGTCATAACTCTCATACTAGGTTCCAAAGGATATCCCATAAACGTCCACGAGAATCCTGTTGTGATCATTCGAGAAGTTTTTAACGAATTCCTTGAAAATTTCTTTATGAAAAATTGATCAAAGCTATTCATTCATTGATTTTTAAAAATTGTAGATTAATCGCGATTTTTTATGAAAATCGTGAAAAAATCGTCCGTTTATACGATTTACTCGCGATAAAATTGCCGACGATCTTACTAGGTTCTCAGTAATATATCATTGGAATCGCCGGAAAGTACCATGGGCAATGGCGAGATCTTAAAAATGATCGTATTGATTATTTTTTATTTAGAATGGTTGTGTTTAATGTTTTTTGTGCAGTAAAGAATTTGACTTATTTATTTTTCACAAAAGTAAGATCATAAAAAAACAATTTTTCGATACAAGTCTGCCATAAGGGTTCAGGTGATTGTGGTCTAGTGAAATAAATATGACCTATTCATACTAATCAGCTAAAGGTGTGATGTAGGTGTTGGATGTGGAGTATGGGCATCAGTGGAGGGTTTCTTTTCTATCTCATACATAACACTCATAGCTTTCTTACTTATTGAGTTGGAAATTTTCAAAGTGGCTTTTGTAAAACGAAATCCATCTTTTCTTGTAGAAACTACTAGGTGACCAAATTAAAAGTTATGATGCGATCTGTGAAGAAAAAGTAGCCAAGTGTTTCTCCATGTATACTAATTATCTTGATTGCGATGTACGAAGTTTGCAACATGTCCACAGTTTTGACATCTTTTCGCTGCATGCTATTGCTTGCCTATATCATTAATGTCGACTAAGAAAAGAGTGACGCGGAAAAGATAAGATAAGACAATTCGTTTAAGTCATCATTACAAATGATAAAATAAGAATGACAAGGTTGATGCTTTTGTATAAATAGCAATCGTAGAATGAAGCCACTTTCTCGTTTGACTTCTTTGCTTCTATGAGGATCGTCCAGCCACTGAAAGAGGCATTATTATGTATTTGAACGTTTTTTTTTTCAGTTTTTGATTACAACAATCTTCTTCTTCCAATACGATAATGGTTGCAACCCACACTTTCATACTGCTTGCCGCATTCGCTTGTAGCTGTCTTGTTGCTCATCCTACAATCTATCCGCATGTTACCATGAAGCGGCAGAAAACCGATCTTAAACGTATCCTTCCGTCTCCTCCTCCTCCAATCATCAGCTATCATCTACACATCACATATACTCTTTTCAATCCATCGGTATGTTTCCTACATCTTGAAACCCATTACACTTTCCTGTATTGCTATTTCAGGGCGTGAAAGAAGCACTGGAACTTCGGCAGCGCACACGTGAGCAATTTCAAAATTATCTTGGTCCAGATTGTCCGGGAAGGTACGATTATGGATATTTATGCATGATCGTCGATCATGATATCGGTAGTTACAGAAATTTTGTACAACATTTTTGCCCGTTATTGTATTCTTCCATTCTTTTGTTTGTAAGAAAATACAACATTGATTGGTGGACCTTTCGTCAGTGGTGAGTGGTCTATATTTCTTCCACTTGGATATTATGCGGTCGTCACTCCCTGGCTTCTACAAAACAGAGGTAACTTATTGATCCTATAATTCTAAAAATCTTTCAATCAAAATATTCAGGCAACCTATCTATGCTCCTGCATCCCAATTCAGGGTATAGTGTTATTCACCAATGACCTCACTTACAGCTTGACTTCAATCATTGCTCATTCATCCACTTGTTTGAGATTCATCTATTCCTAAAATGCAAGACATCGTTTGTAGATAGTCCTAACGAATATGAAGATCACAGCATATGGGCTATGTGGGCTGGAGAACCATGGCCTTTGGATATGTCTATTTTCGAGAAAGAGACACAAACCAATGAATTTGGAGTATTTATACTTACTTCCTTTGTTTATATATGTTTATTTTTACTGTATGACATAGCACTATCCTGGTGACCCGGACAATCCAGTATGCCTTCTCAAGGGTGCCGTATGTGGCGATGATAAACTTAGTCCCTTTGCTCTGTGTTGCTATGAACTGGCATGCAAAGCTGCTGAAATGATTTCGAATGGCGCCTCCAGCTTTACAGTTCATCGATGCGCTTGACACATCCATAATTGATGTGATTTGAAAGATAAAAGACTTTATTTTCTTTGCTGAATAAAACACTATATAGAGCTGCAGTCATTCGACTTTTAGCAAAATAGGCTGTTGTGATTGTTGGAAATTTAAGAACCACAATGACTCTATCGTCATCATCGATAATATTTTCATTCGACAGTAAAGATATTGCAAATGATATTCATTAATACTATCGTCATAGATGTAATTATAGCCAATCAGAGATATCCCAATATCACTTTCTAGATGCGTTGAACAGGGCGCTATGAGTGTGTTTGAACGTGGCTAAAATGAAGCATCTAAGGCGTCTACACATTGAAAAAATGGTGTGATACAGAATTTAACGCAGATTCTGTGTGCACTACTAAACCTAAAAATGATTTCATACACGATTCAGGACTTAAGACGGATTTAGAGAATTGAAACCCTTTTTCTTCAGTGTAACATGCGTCTGGACACGTTTTATAAGCACGTTCATACACATCTCAAAATGTGACGGGATATGTGCCGCGTCCAGACGCGCTTGAAGAATTTTAGGAAAGAAAAACATCTTTTTCTCGTAGATTAGTACTACGACACCACTAGAATCATATGACGGTCGGCTCTTTCCTAGAGGCATATTACAGAAGAAGTTATTTGACCTCAAAACAATCTATTTTTGAGCATTTAAATGCCCGTAGCTTTGTTTTTCACGGCATGAAGATGGACAAATATTTTGCTGGTATTATATATGGTGTCATAAACGCTCGAATTGCTTACTTCAATAGTGTGCCAACGCTTATTTCTTCAGAAATGCGCGTAAGCAGTTGACGATTCAAAATTCTAGACATTGTTTAGTAACACTTATCTTAGCAAATTTAGAGCACTACAAAGTCGGGTTCGATGCTTGATTGAACTGGAATGTAAATATTCCGATTTTATATTGTATAGTTATTTATGGTCTATCGTGTATATTAGCAAAATTTTGTTTAACATATTTACTATAAGAAAAAAGAAGCAATGGAAGTTTAAAATAAAAGTATTTATGATTGTTTGCCTGTTTCAACATTAATTCTTTTTGATTTATGAGAAAAATTTTCCTATACATACACTAATAGTCCAAACAGTGCTCTATAATTCTATAATATTGTACTATTCTTCAGTTGGTATTATAATATCAGAAATTTGATCAATGCTGTTCACATCTGATTTCGATGGATGAGGCTTCAGCAGCCAGACTCTACCGCTCAGAATAGTTGAAAGACGAGAGCAGATTGAAGATAACGAACGACCTCGGAGATTATTCGTTGGATGACTCTATGACTTAGATCATTTTGTGCTTGCGATATCGTCTATTGTAATATAAGACTCATCATTAATAAGGCAATGGAATTTGTTCAGTCACAAACCCACGGCATTGTGCTTTGTCTTCAGCATCTTTTCGATTCTTTTACGAGGTCATGCATACCATTTTTAAGTATTCTGAGAGGGAAAGCCTGGTTGCTGAAAATAAAATATAACACAGTGCGGATTCTAATGTAGAAACGAAAGTTTTCCTTATCTATAGAAATCAGAGGAGAACCACTTTAATTGAAATTTCGATATTATTATACCAACTGAAGAATGATAAAATATTATAGAATATTCTTTGAACTATCAATATATTTTTTGTAAAACAGGTTTCATAAAGCGATAACGAAAATTGAGAATTCTAAAATGTTTTTATAAGATACCTCTGTTTTTGTTTTAGAAAGTATGATAAATGCTTTCGAAAACATCGTTGTTATGCCATGATATTCTATGTTCTTTTATCTAACAGTTTCTCTATTGATAATATGATAAATACCTTCGATCGATCTTCATCATATTCAATAAAAATGTCGAGTAATCGCAAATATCATATGCTTTGAAATGATTCATTTACTATGAAGTAATGATTTCGATCTTTAGCTTCCTATTAACATTTTTAAATAGATTAATCATAAAATTTAATATACTGCAAATTATTCTTTATGTAGCTTAACTGAAAACGATATTGAGGAAGGTTTGAGTTTATCATTCAGTGATCAATCAACATATGTTGAACAAAATATTCATCAAGAATATTCTCATCAATCAAATGAAATTTCAACTGTTAGATCAACAGTTTTACTTCTCTTTAAATAATTAACCAGATTTTTCATCTCTATTATATGAAATTACACATAATAATACAGACGAATCAGCAATTATTTCTAGTGAATTTATTTTGTATCATAGTCCTCAATATCAAACTTCATTAGATAATTTAATGTTACGTAATTCTCAAAGCTATTATATAAAAACATAAAGATTATTTGTCTGATTTTAAATTTAAAATAAATATCTGTGCTAATTTTTTAGATTTTCAACATTCTATTTAAAAAAATCAGAAAAGCTTATTATTCCAGTATTATAACAAGGCTTTATTTATCTACTGTGTTTGATCGCATATCAAAACAACGTCTGTCATAGACTGTGAGGATAGAGGATGCAAATTTCTATCCTATATACTTCAACATTCCTTTTAGATCGTGTTTTACAAAATATGTAAAAAAAAAATTAATAGAACAAGTGAATTTCGAATTTTTTAAGTATAGTTCAAAATCAAGATCACCGTTACTCTTTAACACGAGTAAGAAACAAAAGCATGTCACGTTCCTAGTGAATGGTTGGATATGCAAGACCAAGCAGCATGCTTGTGTCATACGATGTAAGCTCCACTTGAAGTTGAACGTTATAAATACCCATAGAACTGGATTGAGTTCATATGCCGACTTCCACTGTATGTGTTCCTTCAGGAAAATACACCGATCGAAAACAAGGATATGAAGAACTCATGTATCCTTCATTTTCAATATAGTACATGCCTTCATCACGAGAATCTATAGAATCAATGTCTGAATCTAGTTTTGGACCTACTCCTTGGCATTGATGTGTATTGGGCAGTAGATAGTTCAAAAGTGGAATGTGCCTATCGATTAAAATTTGAACCTACTGATATCCTGGAGCACCTTCACAACTGCTTTGAAATATAATTCGATAGAGGGACGGCTATCCATGATATAGAGCAAGTTCGAAGACGAAAACTTCAACAAAAATTTTTGAGGCAAAATTTTGAAGGAACCCATTATTATTTTGATACCAAACGTAAAAGTAAGGAACATGACCGTTTATCAGATCTCTACGTTCTAGAAGGATCATAACATTTTATAAATCGAAAGAGTATTCATCTACTTTTAGCATAAAAACATATATTTATATAGAATAAGTTAGATGTAATTATTCAATCTTTTTCTTTCTCCAACAAGGAAATGTCAATTTGCATCAAAGGGAATAATACTTCAGATATTGCTTGTTTACACCGGATCTGAACATCGTTTTCGATCGAATTTATAATGTTGGAAGTCAGTTGATTGAAAAACTGTAGGCAGATACCTTTCCTTCAAAGAGAATTTCATCGAAAGCTCTTTTTCTCTCAATATTACATCGACTCACACACAAGAAATGACTACGAAATAGCTAGCAAAGAAAGGAAAACGCAAAGAGTCGGCAAATGATGCGAATCGAAATGAGTTGTCACACTTTTGTCGGCTGAGAGATACATATTTAACGATGGAATTCTTTCAAAAAGAAAAAATACTCACCATACAGAGCTATATTAATTGAGCAAAGAAGAAAGGTTATTTGCATTAGTTAACGACTACTTGTATTTTTCTGATGAAAATCATCAAATCGTATCGATTCTTTTTTTTTTTTATTGAAAATTTGCCATTACATATACAACGAGCACACTTTCCTCTATAAAGCTATTCAATATTGGTCTTGTTACTATGTGAAATGTTATTTTTGCAACAAGATTTAGCATTGTTAAATGTGGAGATGATTTGAAACTGATTCGATTTAGTTTTGTGATTCACCCAAATCGCGCGCTTGTTGAATGAGTCCATTGGGACCTTGAAGTATTTGAAGACGTTTGAGAAACGGAGCACGATTATGTAAAGCATCTACAGCATTTGCTTGCATTTCTAGCGTCTCAGCAGTTACAAAACATTTTCGTGCGCTTGTTCCATCGTGCAATGACATGTAACTTTGTCCCAACGTAATGATTTCGTTTGACATATCACGAGTGAGATGGACGAGAAGATCAGATTCATGATCGAGAATTTTCATGCAATGATCGTAGCCACGTTCAAGAGCCCACTCGACTAAACGTCGAACATAACCACAGAAAATATAGAAAAAATAAACACGTGGATATTCGGAAACAATCATGGGAATAATTTGTTCGCCGAGTACACCAGATGAAATCAAGATAATTCTTTTATCCTTCTCGTACTGAATCAAAGCCAATGCATCGTCAATAGTAGAAACAAATTCGATTGGAGCAACATTTTCTTCAAAATAGCAAATAAGTTCATTGATCTGATTGGGTGGCATAGCAGCAACTGGTTGAACAGCAGATTTAAATTGTTGCTTCAAAGCTTTATATTGTCCCATAACTCCAATATGTGTATCCAGCCAGATAATACGAAGACCATTTCCGAGAACCATCTTCAATAAATTGATAGTATTCTACGTATGAAAATCAAACTTCTGTTATGTACCATGAAGTAGTAATGCTTCATGTACCAATAATATATACTTTTTAGTGATACAAGTTGGAGAATTTCGGCGAAATCATATTCTCTTTTACAACAACTGTCAGTTTTTCCGCGAAAATATGACAATATGAGTAATTACTAAAATTAAATAAAAGACGTCAAGGTGTGCGCACGTTTTCTTTTTCTTTTCTGCTAGTTGCATATAAGCGATCAAAGGTCTAAAGATCTCGAAGTTGTTAGTCACAATATCGACAGAAGTGACGCACCACTGTGTCTATTTATGATTAAAGGTTTTCATGAAGAAATTTGTGGGAACTGGTCATTGAAAAGATCAGATATTGTTGTATTACATTTGTTCGAGCACTTTAAAATCATTGCTTCAATAAGCTTTTTTTTCCGTGCGTCATTCTTAATTTATGGCGCCAATTGAAAGGAAGAAAGAAAGAAGTTTTTTTTTTCTTTCTTTTCCTTTCTGTGTTTTTTATCTGTTCTCTTGTCACCGAAAAACTCATGTCATTAAACATTTACATGAACTTTGTACTATTGAATGTCATGACCGATTTGAGTTAGAACAATGCATTATTTGAATCATATCGATACAGTTCTGCAGTAGATGAGTCATAACAACTGTGTCTATATACCTATAAATTGGTTTGAGAAAGCAAAATTATGACGTAGAATTGCCGCAAAAAACATTGGTTTCTTCATTCAAAGAATACGTTTGCTTCAAATATATTTTCTAAGCAAACTTTACAAATTCCAATTATGTTAGTTTATTTGTATAAAACATAAAAACGTGAATATTATTGTTTCTCTTAATATCCTGTATGATAATGGTAACATTATTAAAGTTATAAAAAAAAAATTTCTGAAAAGTGAACTTAGATAACAGTTGAATATTTTCTGTTTATCTATGTTTTTTTGATCCACCAGAAAGCTCACAATTAAGATTGTTCTATAGATATCTCTATCTAGTAATGGATTTTCGTCTTCGATTTAGATGAATCGCTTTTGTATTGAAGAGTCAACGTGGATGTAAATTTTATTCATTACTGTGTCAAATAAATTTTTTCTTCTCGTTAGATTAACGTTTGTTAGGCCAATTAATTACAAATTTGAACAATCTTTTCGAATAACAGTCAAGCGTTTATTACATTTGTCAATACACTTTTCAATAGTTCAATAACTTTCATATCTGAAATTACTTTAATCAGTCAACTTTTAGCATATGTTACTCTTTTTGATCAAGATTCTAGTTTAAATTACTTGTTGTTAATCATCTAATCGATTGTAAAGATGATAATATAAAATCTAATAAATTTATTTTAATGATTTCCGATCATCAAAAACCATCGAGATCAATACGATTAGAATATCAAATAAATATTATTGATGTAAATGATTCACCACTGTTGTCATATATCAATTTCTACCAATAGTAATCTTGATAATTTCAATAAATCTGTCTCATTAATTGATAAATCTGTAGACTAGGAAAAGTCTAAAATGATATAGGTTCATATTACAATTTCACTGAGATAGAGAAGTTTTACTGATATTGGGTGTGGATTAAGAGAGGATCCACACCCATCTATAATAATAACTTATCTCATAATTGAGGCTGATTTGAGTTCTGTAGTTAGTACAGACGGTTCAGACATATCAACGTCATCTGACTGTGTCAAAATCCACTCAATTCTATCAGTTTTAATAGACTTCAAAAATATTCATTCATTTTGATACAATGTATCATGATGCAATATTTTCAAAAAAAGAAACCATCGATATAGAATACATTATAGCGATTGGTATACCGACAGTAGTTTCTTGGTAGCTATCACATGGGATGAAACAAATTTCAAAATTGCAGAAATTTCTTTTGAAAACAAGAATACTTGAATAAAATGCTTCCTATCTGCTTATTCATTCCGATTATTTTCTAAAATTCTTTAATAGCCTAGATACCTTGAATGTTAGACGCAGATACATAGTTCGCCACCACGCGATTTGTTCCTCGACAAGGTCTGCTTTAGTCACTTTTCCAGTTAGTAAGCATGTAGGTCGACTTTGTGATGCTATGAGTTATATCAAACAATATTATTCTATACGTCTTAAAATCGTTGGTGGCTATGTTAGAATAACTATTAGCTCGTAATTTATTGTTTGAAACGATACTCATTTTTATCGACAAAGAATAGTGATTTCCATAGACACTATACACCATGGTACTCTCCAATCGTGACTAATCAGATATATCTGATAGGAGATGAAGTGGACTCTATCAAACAAGAACAAAACAAACATTTGCATAGCATCACAAAATCTCATTAAATTTGAAAATCATCCAATTGCTTAAATAATCTGATAGAAAACTAAATACTCTTTACTTTCAAAATATTTTGTCACAACTACGTCACTCAATATATCTGCCATGCATATATGTTGTTCTTTACAAACAAATAAATATTTTCACGTTGATGTTACATTTCCGGAGTGAAAAATCGTTTGTGCAAGAGCGACAAAATGGATGAAATCTAACAGTGAAAACAATTGAAAGAATTGAAGAGAAAACTCTGTAACAACATACTTCACACATAATATTCAAGAAACTAGTTATTCAAATATCGCAATTCATCTAATCGTTTTTTCTATCGCACATTATTCATTATAGGAATTGATCCAATTTTATCATATGTCTTAATATAACAGTCTATTTTCACAGTATTAATCTTTATTGAAATGACACTAATCAAGAATAAGAAAGTGATAATGACTTTTGAGAATACCCCCAAGATTACAACAGACAAAACAAAAAAATTATCAAGAAGTTTTTTCAAATAAAACGCGATAAAAACATGAAACCGTCGAAATAATTAAAAGTCATCCTTGGGCGCTGATGTAGCAGCTGCTTCAATCAATTAGGTTGTATTGGTCGCGTCGGGATTCTTAAAAAATAGAAGAAACAAATCAAATAAAATCAATTACTATTCCCACAAGAAGAAACCCGTTTTAGTCTTACAAGCGAATGGACGATGATTACCTTTTTCTTGGCTTCCTTTGCTTGCTGTTGCTCTGCACCTTAAGTCTATAGTGTTGATTTACGTGTTGCCAATTATCTACGCAGAGCTCTGTCATCGGCCGACATACCAGTGGTCTATTTTTTTACGAGGCATCAACTAGGTTAAAATCTCAGAAAATAAACATAATTAATTTGAATCTTAGCACAGTGAATAACTCTTTTGTTTTAATTTTTTTTTGGTATTTTGTTTTGTACACATTAAAAGTAACATTTTGATATTTGACACGTGTACCTTGATTGTCTCTTTTCTCTTCCGCAGGTATCGTCGGTACCAGAGAAGACGAGGATCAGAGCGTCGTCAGAACACAGAATAGAGCATAATAAAAAAGAAAGATGAGTCATTCTGCCTTGCTCATTCTCTCTTTATTTTTGATGAAGTATATTTTTCAGTTGTCTATTTCAATGTATAGAATAAAAAAAAAAGAAAGGTTTTCTATTTGATAACATCTTCGTTTGGTTTTTCAAAAATACAATACTGCTCAAAATTGTAAGAACAAGATATTTTTGAATTTTTCTGTAATGTTGAGCACTAACTAAGATCAAAAAAATGATTTGAATAGTCATTGGAGTTCTCTATCGAATGCATTCGAAGTGAATATTTCATAAATTATCTTTGTAGGAAAGGTTTTCAGAAAACCATAGACGGTATATTTCATGTCCAAGAATACTTTACAGCAATTATTTTTTGATGTTTCCATTGTAAAGAGCACAAAGTTCTGAAGAAAGTGAGAGAGTTGCTGAGCTCTCCACGACATTCTCTGCAAAGTTACAAGCATTAGAAAAAACGAAGAAATGCGCAATTTATTGAAAAATCGCTGAAAAAAAGCACATTTTTTGTTTTTTTCTAATGTTGACAACTTTGCACAAAAGATCGTAGAATACTTGGCGATCTCTAACTTTCTTCAGTAATATTAAATTTGAAAATGGATTTCAATTATTAAAGACCTTTTCTAGATATTCAACTATTCAATAATTGAATAATTAAAGTAAAGACATTCAATTATTCAACTTTTCAATAATTAAACTAAAGATATTCAACTATTCTATTTTCATGACACATACACACTAGAAGAGATGTGTGTGTTTCCATGCTAATCACTTATTGAATAGCTTAATTCAACTTTCAGGTTTGATATGTATGATTTTTCTCCAAAATTTTCTGTTCTTTAGCGGAAAAATATCAAAAAATAATATCTGATAAAGTCTTCTTGAATCTGAAATATACTATCTACGGTTCTCTGCAAGCTCACCGTACAAAGGTTATTTATAAAATTTTCATTTTGAATGCATTAGATAGAGAACACCCATGATTATGCAAGTCACTATTCAGATCGAACAGAACAGCTCGTAAGCAGCTACAAAACGGGTATGAGTGTGTGTAAAAAGTGTTGATATATGTTCACATTTTAACATCCATATCCTCAACATGATTATATTCATTCCTGATTTAAATCAAATGTTATGAAAAAATATATCGCAATAGAAGTTTTCAAATGATTATTCTATGTTGATATAGATCGCGTAACCCTAATTCGATTACCAAATTTTATCTTTTTAAAGAAAAACTTCATAAGTTCTCTCCATAACATCCGTTTGAGCTAATTTTTAATTTCCTGGATAGAGTAAATATTTTTCTACCTTTTTGATCAATTTTTTTCTAAAGGTTAATTAATCCTTAATTAGCAGTAGTCCTTACAAAGACACATACTCAAGTTTTTTGTCCGTTCTCTCCCTTTCCTAATTTCATTACTTCAGCTATTTTCATTTCCTAATTTGATTATTCAAGCCATTTTGTAAGGAGTACTCGAGAAAAACTTTGCTCCAACATGAAAAGTATCTTTAATCTTAAAACAAATAACACCATTCGATTC